TGCTGAACCTGCTGCCCTTGTGATCCAACCCTGGATAAGCGTATGATAATAGATGGATGGATGGATGGATGGATGGAGGACAGATTAAAATTAGAAAGGAAATCGCCTACGTTTTGTTTCAAAACTTTCAAAGTGTCCTTAACAGTCTAGCAAAGACAAAGAGCTGCCAGCCATATAAACAGCCCATTATTCCTTTGCCATATAATACTGTATACACACACTTCACTGTTTAGTTGCTTTAATTTTCATCCATACTTCACATAGCATCTGGCGTCCTTCACTAAACATACCTATGCTGTGACTGAACTAATATTCACTGATGTCATTACCATAGCAAGCATTCCTTTCAGTGACTGTAACAGGTATGTTTTAGATCTTAAAACGCACCAGATAAAGGTCTGAGTGTAAACACTGAGGGACTTTTAGTTATTCTGACGTCCTCATAAGGAGCACGTTTGGAACATCAGTGCAGGAATGAATATATATATATGGATATATATATAGTCCACATCATCTGACGTATAGAATATACGACAAAGTTCTGTACCCCTAAATATATATATATATATATATATATAGCACACACACACACAAAACAAAACCTAAAATCACCATATTTATGACTGAAGGTTTCTTAGGCTACAGTTATTGCGTCTAATTCGAATTTAAAAAAAAAACGTATAAGAAAGATTGAAATGCTGTGACGAGCAGCACTTTAGCAGTCCTAAGGAAGAGAAGCCAACACAACTAGTGTGGCACAAACCTATTGTTATCATGTAGAAGTGAGAGTCCATTGTTTAGCGTCCCGGCGGAGCAATGTTGACACACAGCAGCAGTTTCTACGAAACTAGCCCGAGATAAGTGAGGAGCTGTCCAATAGTTCATACACAGAGGACTGTGAACAGCAGTAGAGCTGTTAATGGTTTACTGTTTCTGGTTCTTTTATTTGTTTTTGTTTGTTTGTTTAGTTTTTAATATAAATAACGTTACACACAAAGCGTCTCAGACTCACCTTTCATCCAGTCAACAACTTGTTTCGGGGTCCACTTCGTTATCGGCTCCATTGCCTCTACAATTCAATTCAATAACGACAAAGTTCTGTGACCCTAATTTAAAAAAGTATGTTACATTCTTTACAGCAGCTCAGCGATGTTGGTCCGTCTGTCTCTGTTCGCTCACTAAACAACTCTGTCCACACATGACTGGAGGTTGAACTACAGTCCCACACGGCTCCTTACCGCCCGGTCCGTGCTGCTTTCACGTGCTGCCTGGGAAAACCAGACAAATCACTATTTCGCCACAAAACAACGACTCAGCAAGCCCTGGGAGAATTTTTCATGTTTATCGAAACCAATTTATAGGGCCTACAGCGACGCCTTTCGTCAAAGCAAGCCATTTCTAATTGACTTCGGAATGACCAGTTGTATAAGTTCTTTTGACCGAAATCATTTCACCACCCAGTAGTCCTCTACCACTTCGGAACATGGAATAGAAGTTTACGGATAGCACCCAAATGCAGCGTGTGATGTAGGTAGTTTCCGTGTGTTCACCGTCTTCATCTGAAACCGGAGGCCTGTTTACAAATAATGTGTTGCTGCTGGAAAAAAAAAACACTATATAGGGATACAGATTATAGACTACTGTAAACCTGTCAGCATAATGCCGTGTCACGGTTAAAATCACTGCATATGTTTGTAAAATAAGAAACATCTTATTTGCAAGTTTCATTTGTCATAAATGCTTAATTCATACTGATAAGACAGTTTTGGTGTAATATTCTGCTATAGATTTTACTCAGTGATATTTGTAATCATCAACATAAGGCATCATCTAAAGAAAAAACCTAACTGGATGTGACTCACCACTGCGCTCTGTTGGTAACTTATAGGCTGCCCAACAGTCATCCCCACAACAGCTCACGACAAAACTCCACATACATTTTGATGAACCAATTTAAAAAACATTCCTAGTTTAATAATACAGTATAATGAAACTGGAATACAGAGTCTAAGTGAGTCTGTGGCTGTCCCAGCTGCACTGGAGAATCAGTTCACAGCTATTTGAGACACCCATAAGAGAGATAACAAAATTCTTTAAAAAAAAAAACCCTCAAACTAAACAATCTGTTGAACTCAGCAGTTAAACATTTGAGTTTTGAGTCAATTTTAAAAAGCCCCTTAAACATGTTGGTTTAAGGTTAAGCTTTTCCATTACAGTGATGTATGTATGATCAATAAAGAATTCATACAACTGACCAAACAGTCTTACATCCTTCTGCTTGGCTACTACACAGATATATATTCTATACGTCAGATGATGTGGACTAGAATTGGTGAGTGCACAGTGGGTTCACTCTACCCAAAACATTTTAGGTATATTCTTTAAATGGGAGGTAAAGTTTGCTCATTTGCTATCATGAATTCTGACATAAAGTAACTTTTCCTGACATTGTTTTCAAGCAGTTTGAGACACACCTTTTATGGGAGAGTTCCAGCCACTACTGTGCAGCTGGAAGCTGATGGGTACTCTGCACTGTAATCAGCTACAGATTAAAGCTCAGCTGTTATTAAACTTGAGCACGCATCAATTTGCTGTCAGGCCAAAACGCAGTCAGTACTGTGCTATTCTCAGCTTTTTTCTTGTTCAGACATACTGGTTTCCTTGTTTGTTGGTCTGACACACAATACAGACATGTTGAACAAGAGTCCCTGTTTTAGGTTAAAGTTAATTAAAGTAATTTTTAAAATAACTAACATTAGACAAACATGTTATTTTTTTGCACTATCTTTGAGCTGAGCAATTTTGGTGAGGACTGACAGGTCGGTTGCCTGAGGTGAGCTTTTACTGAAACACAAGACACGCAACACAGTACAACTCCTACACCTGGCAGAATCTAGAACAAATGGAGCGAGCATGAGTGTGATCAGCACAACAAGGCAAAGGCACATCTATAAAGCAGGTCAGAAAAGTTTTAGTACTGATGTCATAACTTTTTCAGCTTTCTCTTGACATATTGGAGGCAATACAACAAATCCCTGTCTTAGTTGACTAACGGCCTTTTAAGCTCCTTCAACACAAGGTTGGTGTACATTGTTGCCAGGTATTGTAAACATTGCTAGCTTCACAAACAGGGGAGGCAGTGACACATGCAGTTCTCATGGGAGTGGGCTGGATTGAAGGGGATTTGTGTGTTGTGGAATTCAGGGGAGGTTCTCCCTGATATGATTAAGTGAATCAAGGGAATTGTTGTCAAGATGAGGTGGAGGGATGGAGGGAGAGGGCCCAAGCTTTCCAGCTGGGAGAGGAGGTCAGACCTGAGCAGCCGCAAAACTAGAACAACACTGTTGCTGCTGCTTGGCTATTATGATAGAATTATACAGAAAAAGCTCACAATTCCTCATGAAAAAGGTCAGCCTTCTTGTTCACAACAACCAGTCATCAGAGCAGGATCATCATCACTACCCACATCTTCCAAAACATTAACGTTAAAACAACAACAACCTCTGCATTATTTATTTATTTATTTCAGCCTCAAAATACAGGAACTCCAGCTTTGGTATTGTATATTATTTTAAGATCTACATTAAAATTGGGCTAATAACGTCAGAAAAAAACAAAGGCAGGCATGTGAAAAACAGGAAGTCCTCCACTTCACTCTCTGCGATGACAGGATATGAAGGGCTAAAGATGTTGTGATAGTAAAAATACTTAACAGACACCCACTTCCTGCCACTGACGGATTTGCTCTCTTAACACTGAACAGATTTACCATGGGAGAGGAAATGTTACACACCCTGTAGTTAAAACGCACCATGTGTCATCATATACAATACTCTTTAGTGGCAATTGTATATATTTATCACACAATCATATAAACATAAAGGGTATTTATAGAAATTTAACTGATCCCAATCATTTTTCATCCTTGTTGATTCAAGTGGAGCAGATCAATGCTGGCACTAAAATCCCTCCTCGCGGTCTAAAAGAGTAGTTTAGGCTGATATAAAGAGAGCAGTGTAGTAAAAACAAAGAAGATCCTGTGTTGCTAGGGATTTGGGGCTCAAGAGGAAGATGAAGTCACAGAGTCTTAAAGTCTTATAAGAATCCAGGTGGACAAAAAATATATTCACCTACTGTACATTAACACAGAACAAACTATTAACTTACAAATAGATTTAGATTTTGATTTCAACATAAAAATTGCATCTCTATACATATTGTCTATGCAATATACTCTCTGCAGTTGGTGCCCAAATGATACTGTATTGGTATTTCACCAAGCACTAAATGCAGCGGAGTTTATAAAGTAACAGCTGAAAATCTTTACTATGGTGAAACATGAGAAGTTGCTGCAGGAGATGTTGATTTCTACACAGTACTCGGTGGGTCTGAAGGGACGGCAGGTCTGGCACTGAGGTACTCTAGGACAAAAATCTGCAAGATCTTGTTGAGGTTCTGGATGGTGGAGCGATCCAGGTTCTGCTCGTTGTCATCAAACGTGTGCCACACTGACGGGAAGGGGGAAGGGATAAGGTGGAGGATACGGACTCCTGAGGGAGGCACAGGATGAGGATCACCCAACAAATTTAATGCAATATACTGTATGTAAATATTTTTCAGTAGTTGTGCTAGTTGGTCTGAATACCTCTTTTAAGGAACGGTATATGATCATCTTGAACTTGGCCAACAGGGTGATTGGGCCAGAAATATTGCACGCTGTTTGGATGATCCACAAGCTGGTTCATGGAGTGGAGACGCTTTTCTGAGGACGCACGAGGCAGGACAAAAAGAAAAAAGGTGAGTTAAAAAAGAAGAACTTAAAAAAACAGTTTAAAATGCAATAATTTGCCAATTTGCTTCATTCGTCTGTAAAGTGATTCAATCAGCTTTGACTGACAGCCTCACAACTGTCATAACATTTTGGTTCAGATGTTGCTAAACTCTGATTGGTGCATGAATTATGTGATATCAGTCAGTCACTTCAAACCAGTGATGAAATCTATGACAAAACATCACAAACACAGAAATGAAAAACCAACTGTTCTAAAGAAATCAATGCATTATTGCATCAGAAAAAAAGTGTATTAATGTAGCACCCATTAGCACTCAGAAATAAGCAGAGTTTCATGTTCCATAAGGAACTTTGCCTAAAAATATAATAATCTGACTAGTGATTAAAGCGACTCTCAGTTGTTTCATGCACACATTCAGCAAAATAAACAAACCTACATTTTATCTACAGTAATAGGAGAATATTTGATCAGTCACCAATATTCTGCAGCCTGGAGAGCCATTTCATTGTACTGGGGAAACGGTTGCCAAAGGTAGGATTAGGAGCCCCGATCAGGTCCAGCAACACAAACAGATCCTGCAGGAGAAGAGACGGGGAGGAGGGGAAGGTGATAGTAAGCTCTTGTGAGAAACTTTCTGTGAACATCCTGAAGATAAATCCTTGACAAGAGAAGTGTCAAGAGTGCCCACTTTGAGGTGCGATGATGACATCATGCGTTCCAAGGTGCAACACACATCGCACCGTCTCAATAAGGTGCACAAAACACACCAGTCTGTCAGTTCAGATGCATGCACATACTGCTGTCTTCTTTATCTGTGTGGGTGCAAACAGGAATGTCTCCATTTGTAGATTAGTAGTCTCCAAGGCAAAGATACAGAAACAAATATCTTGTCATAGACTGTATAATAAATGATGTTTCAGACAACCAAAGCCTCGAAGATGATAAAATGGTGGTTCAAGTACTTAAGACATGTGCCGCCTTTGTTAAGGTGTCTGTGTGGGCCATGTGAGGGGGATCAGGATCTTCTACTTAATGTGATCTGGGCTAACAGAGGGATGATCTTGAGTGTAATTAAAAGACTATGCTAATCTCAGGTGGTTTGGACAGAAAAGAAGGATGAGTACAACTGATACATACTATGCTTTGTAGTTCGTTGGTGTCTGTGGCTCCGGCAGGGTGTGGGGTGCTCGCCATCTTTTGGGCCAGGTGGCGAGAGCCGTACAGGGAGTCTGTAGAGGTCCACTGGAAAAGAGCCTCCTCTCCATCAAAGAAGATCAGCTGCAGGGTCAGGTCGGGACTGGAGCTCTACATGAGAGGTAAAGAGAAAATGAGGTAATCAGCTTCAATTTCCATAGTAGGAATTTTGCTGCCCTCTAGTGGATTTGAGATTATATTGACATAATAACAGCCTGAGGTTTTTAGCTGAAAACATTATGTATTTCACTCTTTTCACCAAACAAGAGGCTTCTGTAATGATGAGTTTACAATTTATTTTTACAATGTGATTTATCAGCTATGGCATTTATTATGTGTCCTCCTCCATGGCAGCGAATACATTTTGATTTAATATGATTCCTAACCCCATTGTGACCTTTGTGACAGACAGCTGAGTCTGATAAACATGTCCCTTGGCTGATCTCTCCTTGACACAGGTCTTGTCACTGTCTGAGCTCTGCTGTGAAATAGGAAAAGGGCAGAGGAGCAAGCTACATGAATATTAAGTTTAAGTGTGCAGTATAATAGGCAGCAAGTGAACATTTAGTCCTTAAAGTTGATGTATTGGAAGCCGGAAAAATGGGCAAGTGTAAGGATCTGAGTGACTTTGACAGTGGCTGACAACTGGATCAGAGCATCTCCCAGACTGCAGGTCTTGGTGGGTGTTTGTGCTCTTCCTGACAGTAGAACTATGGAAGTACACAGATTCACAGAAGACGCACTGTGAGCTGCAGAGTGACACCAGTGCCAACCAACTGCCACACTGACTCCTGTGTACACAGCATTAGGCAGGTGGTCATAATGTTACGGCTGATGAGTCTATGTTTAGAATTTATTTGATACAACACAGACATTTAGTTTTTATTATCATAACCAAGAATTTCTTACTGATAGGCTGAATAAAAATGCCAAAAAGATAAGGTTGTCATCATAGGCTGAATAAAAATGCCAAAAAGATGAGGTTGTCATCAAATGCTATGAAAAGCCCAAAGCCAACAGCAAACTCTTACTAAGAAGTATTACCTGTGTAGAAAATGCCAGCTGTTCTTCTTTTCCTTATTCCTCCACTGTTGTCCAAAAATCTAAAAAAAACTAGCTGTACTGTTGCGCCACATCAGTTGCACATACACCGTCCTGGTGCGCAAGTACTCCATAATACAAGTACTCCATAATACACCAAATGTGTAATAATCTGCAGTTGTAAATAACCCCACTGTACTGAGTAATGTATAAAATGGCTTTGCCCTACCAACAATAACAGATAAAGGGGCTGCTCTGGTCAAACTGAGGTGTGAAGTCAAAGCTACTCTCTAGCAGCTTTAGTACAGACCTGTTTTTAGAGATTTCTGTCTTGAGAAAGCCACAGAAAGCATTAGAATGTTTGAGTAGCAGATGTTTTCATAGGCTTTGTTGATAGTAAAAAAAAAAAAAAAAAAACTAAAACAAACAAAAATACACACAAAAAAAATCACCAGTCTTATTCTAGACTGTATGATTTCTTGCCACTAATATACATTGTTTCTCATGTTTCACTAATGTGAAGGGTTGTATGCACAATGCTGTTTAACCAGTTCTAGGAACTAGTCTGCCACGCTTAGTATTGTATTTCCGAGCACTTACTGCCATCACTGTTGTTAAATGACTCTCCTGTGATTCATGGCTGCACGTCACTACTGGTAACAACCACACAAAATGTAATAGATACCCCGAAATGGCCTGAGTATCACTGAAAAACCTGTTTACTGAACCGTCCACTACCTTATAAACTTTAAGTACTTCATCTAGGGCTTGTGCCAGCTCCAACATCATGGCACAGGGAACAGCAGAATCAGTAGCACCTTGGAATTCCCTCCCGTGCCATTGTGGTGGATAGTATTTGGAGTCATAATGACAGGCCAGAACCAGTCGGCGCTTGGCTGATGAGTCGAGGGTGGCAATTAGGTTGGTGAAGGGCAGGGAGCCATAGGGTGTTTGTGACATAAACTTATCTTCTGTCACTTGCCAGCCTGCTCCGAGGGAACTCAGGGTTGTTTTGATTTGCTGAACACAAACACAGAACCACACACAGTAATAAGCATTTTGTTTGTGACTCACTTTGCTGACCGAAGTCTGTGGCAATTACACTTGTGAAAACGAAAACAGCATTCATATCTTTCTCGCCATTTCCTGCTAACAACAGGAAAACACAGCACATAAAATGTGGAGGAATCAGTTACAAGTGTAAATCGGTGTGATATTAGTTGCTTATCTCTGTCTTCAGTTGCCAATAAAATACATAAGGTAAAAGAGGTAGGACTTTGACATTTTTCTTGGCAATTATTGTCAAATAGTATCCTAACACACTGCGTGTAGTAGTTTATGTTATCCTGCAGATGATAAACTTACTTCCTGCACAGCATGACTGCCTGCAGATCCTGGGTACCTGGTGACCAGCAGTGGGTTCAGGTACGTCTGCCACATGCGGTCCAGGTCGGTGCGAGGCAGGACGCTCTTGATCTCATTTTGTGTTAGTGTGGCAGCTCGGTGTGTGAGCTGAACAGAACCAGAGGGAAACAAAACAAGAGAATACAAAATGAATATTTTTGACAGGAATTTAAAGTGTATAAGAAAAAATTGCAAAGTAATCATCTGAATAAAACAGTAATGTGGTCAAACCACTCTGATCTACTGTAGTAGATTTAAGATATGCTAGGAATCTAAGAACAAAAAAAAAAAAATCCATCTTAAACATAGTTATTCAGTGACAGCTATATAAATATTACCTACATAAAAAAAAAATCAATGTAGCAGTTTAACATTGTAGTTACACTGTATCAAGCGGTTTAGGAATGCTCACCTACTCTTCATCACATTTGTGTATTGTCAACTGTTTAAATGTGACGTCCACCCTAACATCTCCTCAGAGGGAGGCATAAAGAGCATTTAAAGCTGTGTGAATAGACACTGATTGAATCCACTCAAAGTCTGCTTTAGTAAAGATGGAGTCTACTGAATAGGGAGGTATAAGAGTGGTGGGCTTGTTAACATGTGACCACTCTCGCTTGCTCAAAGAAACAGACTCCCTGTTAAGGGCCTACAATGGTGAGGACACAGATGCAGACACAAACACAGGTGTGCAGGGAGAATAAGGGTTTTAATGGGCAAAACTTACATCACCAATGCACAGAAAACAGTGACAAAAAAAATAAACTCAACTTTATTTATATAGTGCTTTACCACAGCACAGCTGACCAAAGCACTTAACATATGATGCAAACATAAAAACACATAAAAAGCTATAAACAATAATATAAACACTAACACTACAGACAGAGTCTCATTCCTGGCCAAACGCAAATGAATACAAGTGGGTCTTCAAATAAGACTTAAAAATAGACAGTGATGGGGCCTGCCTAATATAAAGCGGCAAGGCATTCCACAGTTTTTGACCACAGCAAAGGCTCTATCAGCTGATCTGAGGCACCGCGAGGGATTATACGAATGCAAAAGTTCCACAAGATAAGAAGGTGCCAGGCCACTTGAGGATTTATAAACAAATAAAAGAATCTTAAAACGAACCCGGAACCGCCCCGGAAGCCAGTGGAGAGATGCCAGTACTGGCGTTATGTGGTCCCTCTTACGCCCCCCAACC